AAGAAAATATAGGAAATATAATTGTAATTTCACAGTCCTAGAAATCGAAAAATAGTCGTAATAAAAAAAATAGAAAAAGTGTAGAAGGAGAATGAGAGAAGAAACGCGTATAGAAAAAGGAGAAACTTCTTGAAAAAGAGGTGGGCCTCCAAAATGAGATGTTATGACAAGGGACAGCCGTTTTTTGGGCCGTTGATTGATGCCCAGGGGCGCTATTGACAGGTTGAGCACGAGCAGCTCGAGCTCAAATCGATTTGAGGGTCGAGTTTTGAGGCTCAGGCTTAGGCTGAGGCTTCGCTTAGGCTTATCATCTAGTAAATTGTTTTCCATAACGGAGCGTCTCAGAATAACAGCAATAATCGCAGCCTGGGCTGAATATTTCCCGACTCGGAAAAATTGTAGTGGGACCTGGAATACACCTAAAAACGGCGTGGGAACCCGGGGTTTGAGACGGTAAAAAGGTGGAAAACCGGACAAAAGGGCTAACGTTTAATTTGCAAATTTCGAATTTGGGGAAAACAGGTTTTCGTCAATTTCGCGCTTTGGAATGTCAGCTCGATTTTTTCGGGGGATCCAAAGGTGGTTTGCACATTAATAGGCGTCGAAATTCAGAGGCCTCGGCTTCCGCCGGCGCTTTCAAGTCCTGAACGTTGTTAGCTGTTAGTCGTTTCTTCGACTTCCTGGCCGGCGTCTCCCAACTTCCAGGGCCCCCACGAAATCCAGTTATCCCTCGAGGTCAAACCGGCAACGTGCAACGTTTTCGGGCTGGGCACCGTCAATTTGTGCACCTTTGAGGCTTAATCCTAAGCCTAGGCTTGAAGCTAAGCCTAAGCCTAAGCCTAAGCTAGAGTGAGAGAGAGAACGAGTGACAGAGAGAGAGTAGAGGGCGCGGGAGAATTAGCAAAACAGCGAGAGAGACATACGGGAGAGAGAGAGAGGGAGAGAGAGAGAGAGAGAGAGAGAGAGAGAGAGAGAGAGAGAATGAGAGTGATAGAACGCCGCAGTTCCCTGCAAAACTAGGAATAAATATTTTTTTATTCCTTCCCCTCCATCCATCCGAACACCGATCGCTTTGCGTAGGCGTAGAGGGCTGCAAAGTGTAGGAGTGGACAAGGCAAATGGCGGCAAAAGCCGCCAAAAAAGGAGTGGTCCAAGAAAGGGCCCATCCGGAGGGAAAGAGAAGGGAAAAGAGAGGGCAGAGGGCACCGCGAATTTTATGGGCCAACAAGTCGGACAAGCTTGGGGCGGAGGAGCCATTAGAACGGACATTGGGAGGGCGGCCAAGACTGGACTCGAGCTGGAGGAGGCAACATTTTAAGGGGTTTTTTTAAGAAACCGCCCTGGAAGGCAAGCTGGTAGAGGTTCTTTAGGAGGAGTTTTAAGGGGATCGTGCCAGCCGAGTGAAAGCCGGAGAGATAGAGGCCTCTGCCTTTCTAGCCTCTTTAAAGGGCTGCCGACGGCATGTGTCGATCCCCCCCTCATCAACAAATTGGCAAGTAGCCAACAGGGGAGAGAGCGCGCCCAGGGGAGAGGCGCAGAGACATTTTCTTTTCCGCGCGTAACCGATTGACTATGCCGTCGGCATCCCTTTAAACCGAAATTTTCCCCCGGAGGGCAGGCTAGCAAAGACTCCTTAGGAAGGCTGTAAATTTGAAGCAGTCCGAAAAATCCGGGTGTCTGCAAAAAGCCGAAAAGGAGGTCTATGTCAAAATAGGGAGCGTGTGAGTTGTGTATGTCTTTTTGTCTGTCTCGCCCTCTCTCTCTCTCTCTCGCTCTCTTCTCTCTCTCTATCTCTCTCTCTCTCTCTCTCTCTCTCTTCTCTGCCTGGCCGCCCGTTTGGCCGGAAGTGTAAATTATCCACACGGCGCCTTCTTCGAGCTGGGCCCCCCCGGCAAGGCGAGGCCCGAAACGGGGCGGCCCACTCCGGGTGGCAACTAGAATCAACTTGCCGAGAGAATATTTCATTGTCAAAAAAGTCTAAAATTATGCAAAACTTGTTTTAAAGGGACAAATGAGCAAGTATTCATAGCTCACTTCAGCCGGGTCTCCAGACTTGCCGGTCCCTTTAAAATCTCGCCATAGCAATGAAGGCCAGCTCGTTTCTCTCGAGGTTGAAATAAATTAGAGCTTCATCGCTTGGCTGAAATCGCATAAAATTCACAAAATTAGAGAGAATGGCCCGAAAAATCATGTCAAAATAGATTAGTTGTCCATGTAAGCGAATAAAAAAAAACCAAAATTAGACGGGGTCCGACTCTATCCTTTCCAAACCCTTTAAAAATTGATTCTAACAACCATAGGCTCAAAGAGAAGCCTATAAGTCGACCTCGCCAGCTGATGCGACCAAAAACGTTTGCACCTCCCCCTCGGGGGGCGCCAATTAGCTTTTATGGGCGAGTTACTTGCACTAGCCGGGGGCCCGGGTAACGAGGTGTTCCGAGACACACCTTCTTACAGGTTTCGCCGAATGGCGCTAAAACACGATTTGACGACCACGAGGGGTTTGAAAGGGACTGGCAAGCCAGAAGTATTTTGCTTATTAGGCTCGAGCTTAAGCTTAGGCTTAGGCTTGGGGTCGGCTTGGGTTCGGCTTAGGCTTGGGGATGGCTTTCGTAACTCGGATTTATGAGTATTTTCGATGATTTGTTGAAAATCCGTCATTTCAAAAACTTTATTTCCAAAATTAGAAACGGAAAATACAACCCAAATTTGAAAATTCGTGATCTTTGGATTTCAAAATTTCGACAATTAACTCTTATTCATGAAACGTGAATTTCTAGTGTCAGAAATAACCTATTAAATGCACTATATTGCATTTAAACAAATTTACAAAATTCCAGACAAAAGTTGAAAGTCCACCCCCGCAGCCAGCCCTTAGAAAACACAAATTCCCATGCTGGGTGACGAGACCAGAAGCGCTCCAGGTTGTTGGCAGACTTGGTAATGAGGGCAAAAAATAGGCAGCATCCAAAAATCCAACAAATCCTATTGACGATCGGTTGGAACCAAAATCGGCACAAAATCCGAGAATCGAGCAGAAATCGGAGCCGCCGGCTAGGAGGGGCGAATAAAAAATTAGAGGCCAAGAAGGGACCAAAGTAAGGGGATACCAGGCAAAAGGGCTGGGAGAAAAGAACGCGGCAAAGTTTCGGATTAAAAAAAAGGAAAAAATTATGCGTCTGGCCGGTACAAACAAGGAAGGCTAGCAGGGAACCTTGAGGAATTAGAGAGAGTAAGAGAGATCGTGCTCAAAAAGAATCATGAGACACATGAGACCCTAGAACATCACCTTTGCCTTAAAGAAACTACTCGAAAACCGCATAACCCTTCCTTGAGCTGTCGCTCCAAGCCCCGAACGGTTGTCCGTCAACCTCCCCACCCCCAAAATCGATGGTGTGAGCAGAGAACATTGCGGAATGCGAGCTCCCCTGTCGCCTCGGGCTCCCCGGCTTGAGCCCCAGGTGATCGTGTGAGGGAGGAGGACCCGCTGAAATGATGATAAGGGCCTCGGGGCGAGAGAGTGTGAGCCGCATTACACCTGAAAAAAATACCCCAGGCTGGTGCTCGCCACGGCCGGGCCCGCGGCGTGAGCATGGAGTTGGACTCGGCCCGGAGGGCACACGCAAAAAAAGACAGGTGCCCCCGTTTCGGCCAGCCGTGTTGATTGCCCTCCCTCGCCCGGTTGGCAAATTGGTGGCAGATTTCGTAAATTGGCGGCTGGACCGGATTTCCGGGATCAATGATCACGAAATCGATGCCTAGGGTTGCTAAACGACGAGGGGAATGTCGAGCAAAGCTAGAGAAATTGAATCAAAACTGAGCAAACCCTCGAGCGGAAATTAGAAAGGTCAGCCCCGGATGCAAAGTTCATAACCTCCGTTATCAAGAAATCGGCGTTTTTTTAGTAATTTCCTCAGGATTGCCCTAATTCGGCATTCGAGACACCCGCAATTTTGTTTAAAAAAAACTTGCCTTAAAGGGATGCCGACGGCATAGTCAATCGGTTACGCGCGGAAAAGAAAATGTCTCTGCGCCTCTCCCCTGGGCGCCCTCTCTCCCCTGTTGGCTACTTGCCAATTTGTTGATGAGGGTGGATCGACACATGCCGTCGGCAGCCCTTTAAGAGATTGGTAGCCCTTAGACAAACCAAAAAACATCAATTTTTGGCTAAAAATTTAACCGAAGAAAACATTTTTCCATATTAAAATATACAGGACCAGCGCCACTGCGCCAAAGCTGAAAATAGACGCCGGAAGTGTGGGCCCGCCGTCTGAAAATAGGTCCCTGAGGGTGGCGAGACGGGCCCCAGGTCATGGCACCCGGTGGAGTTCGCAGCGTCTCAAATTGTCGTCGATTTGTCAAAAGGGGCCCAAACGGCTGGTTTGGCCGCGAGCCCGTGCTGACCGCTCAGCCCCATAATCGAGTGGCAGACGACAATTAGCGATTGTCACGTAGCTCTTCACAGCGGTTGGGAAGGATTATTCCAATACGGCGCTAGATTTTAAGAACTGCGAAATCCTAAAGAAGCTCCGAGGCCCGGTGAATGCAGCACGATACAAAAAAGAATAGTTGATAGTGGCAGGAACACAGCCCTGTCCCATCCCTCAAAACAAAGAGCCCAGGTAGATATCCCGTCTGTGCGAAGCAAATTGCGTTTATTCGGGAAAGAGCCGACTTTCGGGTGTGCGGCAGTGCCGCGTGGGCCATACTTTTCGGATTGGGCTGGATTTCGCCCAAACTCGATTACCGAGTCTACCTATGGGCGCATCGCCAATGGACCCAGGGGCTTGCCACGAAAGTGGACAAAAAACAAAGACAAACGCACAAAAAGACACTAGCCCCTAGCCGGAGAACAAGCGCGCCTGCCTTTTTGCTGATTGCCGAATATAGCCACGCGTATTCCATAAGCTTTGTAAACTCTGCGTTGATCTGATGTGCATTTGATTCACTCCAGGACTGGAACAACAACAATTTATTCGACCATGAAAGAAAACAAATTAGTCGAAAAGGCCGAAACCCATGTCATCATCGGACTCTTCCTTCTCTTCGACCTTGGCCGGAGCAGCAGCGGCGGCGGCTGGGGCAGCAGCCGAAGCAGCCGGGGCGGCAGCGGCGAACTTGCTCGGGTCGGCGAGGTAAGCCTTGATCTTCTCGGCAGCGGCGAACGTGATGTCGGTGGTGGCAGCGATGGCGAGCATGTTCTGGAGTCCGTTGGCCAAGCTGTGCGGCACGGAGGCAAGCGTCGGGATCTTGGTGGCCAGCGAAACGGCGGCGACGTTGCGAGCTCCCTGCACGAAGCGGTTGCGCAGATCGTCGGTGGACAGGTCGAGCACAGCCGGCGAGTACATGGTGCCGTTGTCGTAAACTTGGAGCACGACCAGACCGTACGAGAACGGCTGGATGCCCAACATGTTGAGGAGAGCGGCCTCCGAAGCGCCGACCTTCTCTCCAACCTGAAACAGCGATGATAAAAAAGTTAAGATATAACCATGGCAGGTACACTGGTTTAAAAACGAAACGCACCTTGATGAGGTGAACCTCATTCAGAATTTCGATGGTACCCTTGGCGATCTTGGTCGGGATCTGCAGAGCCTGGAAGAACGAGGTTTTCTCAGGTCCCATGCCGGTGTTCTGCGGGGGCAGCTTGACGTCGCAAGGAGCGAGGGCACCAGCCTTGGCCGGAGCTCCCTAAACAACGAAATTATTGAAACTAGCAGTCACACAAACCCTCTTGTTAGCCAGCAGCTGCGAACGGATCTCCGAGAGGTCCTCCTTGGTGAAAACGAAGCCGACATTCTCGACGATGTAAGGCAGCAGCTTCTCCAGATGCGGGTTCTTGCCGATAAGTCCACGGATGGCCTTACGCATCATGGTGTTCTTTCCCATCAGGATAGCGGCATGTCCTAAAACACAAATGAAGTTTAGAAAAGTAAAGATACCTCGCATAGCAATACGGATCTCCTGCATTTGCTTGGATCCGACATTGTCGACGCCGACGATGAAGAGCTTCGGGTATTCCTCGAAGAGCTCGCCAAGCTTTTGGAAGTAGTTGGACTTCCAGGTGGACTTGTCTTCCCTAACCATCGTTGGTGGCGAAGGATCGTTCAGGGGAACGTTTTAAAGACTGAAAAGGATGGTTATGGTTGCGCAAATCATTAGAAACTCAAACGTGAAGACGATATCAAAAACGAAGGCTAAAATTCTATTCGGGCAAAAATGCGAATAAAGAAAACGCCAAAAGAGGGAAAGGCTCAAAGGTGTTGCGGACGCCTAAAATGGTCCCGCCGCGGTCCTCCGTTCGGTGTATTGGCGCGTTTATGAATGGCCCCGACGAGCCCCGAATAAAAGCAAAGGTTTTGACAAAATGAAAAACACTTTACAAACGCCGTTGGTTTACCCAGGTTTGCGGTACAATCAAAAAAGAAGACTTTTTTTATCCGAAACCCGTAGTAAATTTTGCATAATATTGGGTGTATAAATTCCGCGTCGGCCCCAACTGTCAATAAATGAATGAGCAAACAACTCACTATGAAAGCTTTATCTGGGGTGGTACCAAAGTAGATTTAACCACCCTGATTTAACTACCCTGGTTAAAATTTAACCACCCATGGTTAAATTTTAACCACCCATGGTTAAAATTTAACCACCTAGCACGAAAAAATTTAACCACCCATCCAAAAACAATTTATCTCATATATCGATAGAAATTCTTTGGAAGAAAGTAACGTGAACCCAATTTATCGCTTTCTAAACCATCCGTGAGCCTATGTATAAAGCAACTGCCTTCCCAGGGCCCTCCCGGAATCGAAATGGGACTCCCGAGTGTATTCGGTCTTTTGGGTGCGTTCCGAAAATGTAGACCATTTTTATAATGTATTTAGTACATTTTGGTTGCTAGGAAGTTATAGATAAAAAAAAAACATTTTTAGATATTTAGAAAATCTTGAACATTTTGAGCTTTTTTGGCCATTTTTCATTCAATTTTGACCAACGAGTCCAAATTCTCTCGAACAATGTTATAAGTTTTTCGGCGCTATTTCGGAATAGGGGACCCACTTTGATTACTCTAAAAACCACTTTTTCTGGTGTAATTTTGTGCGCTTGTTCTGAAAAACGGTATCCCAGCCCGTAAAAACGCACATTTGTACAAAATATTTTATCTTTATAGGATGTTTGCATGACAGCACGGGCGGGCTTGGCTTAGCCAGCACAATTGTGAGGCAACCCTCTTGGGTTATTATATTTTTCGGCTTGAGCTTGACTTCTGTCAGATTCATCTGGCTGGCCTAGGCTTGGTCTCAATGAATCTAAGATCGGGCTTACTAGCATTTAGCATCATTTATGCATGCGTTTTGAGCTTGAAAAACCGCTAGGAGTGTATGGTAGCCGACAGTTGGGCCTGCGCCGCTAGGCTCCCTAGAAGCCCATTAAACTGCAATCAATTTTTTTTGTGTGAAAATGTTAGGTTTTAAAGTTAGTATGGTGTTTTTCTCGGAACCAGCGCACAAAACTATCCAAGAAAGCATCGCACAAACCCCAGTTTTGGTACAATAAAAGTGGGTCCCCTATTCCGAAATAGCGCCAGTTTTTCGGATTTTTACATCTAAAAAGAGTATAAAAGAGTATAAAATACTATAAAAATGGCCTATATTTCGTTATAGAGCCGTCCCATATCAATGCGCGACCCGCCGGCGAAACGGGGAGATTTTTCAACAAAAATTATGATTTCCTAATTTCGAATAGGATAAGTTACACTATACGAAAGGACTAGGTAGACGTGGCCAAAAAGCCTGGTGCGCTACCCTTAGGAAAACGGCTTCCCAAGTTACTTGTTATTAATGCCAAACCTCGTGGTAACAAAGTATCCAAAATATGCGGATTTATCGAAACGATGATTGGGGAGTGATGTCCAAAGAGAGAATATCAAAAAAGGGGAGGCGGAGTGCTTCCGTTTTAATCTTTGATGAAAATTTTTGCCATCCGAAGCCGGGAGGTGGCTAACTTTATCCTAAAAAAATTTAACTAGGGTGGTTATATGTTTCGTGAAAACGTTTTCACGAAATATTTAACCGTGGGTGGTTAAATTTTTGAGGCGACTTTTATGCCCATAAACCACCATCTACGGCCCTAATATCTTTAACTTATGCTAGAATATCGTCTAAAGAAACCATATTCATCTTCTTGGTGAGTTTGGATTTCGGCAAAATTTTTAATATGGTTTATAAAAAGTATTACTTTTTGGGTGGTTAATTTTTTTGGTTTTGGCCCTCGATGGTTAATGTTTAACCACCTATGGTTAAAATTAAACCATGGGTGGTTAATACTTAACCATGGATGGTTAAAATTTAACTATGGGTGGTTATGGTTTAACCATCGTGGTTAAATTTCCAAGCTCCTTTCTAGCCCCTTTCCAAGTATTGCACAAAGAAAAGGTTAGCGGCATTCGATCAAGCGTTTTAAGAAACCTATCCGTGATTTTTAGCGATGTTTCTAGACCTCTTAATTGTCGTAGAAACCATCCTCCAAAAGTTAGCTTTTTACCATTGGTTTTCGGCGGTTAAAATTTAACCATCGGTGGTAAAATTTTAACTATGGGTGGTTAAATTTTAACCATGGGTGGTTAAATTTTAACCACGGTGGTTTTGGAGCTTTGGTACCACCCCAGAAAAATTGATACCCGTGTGGCAACATATTGAAAGAGCAACAACAAAACAATTCCTAGCAATGTCACACTAACTATAAAACTATGAATGTATCTATCATCTCCGTGCTTCTGGACTTCTCTTCAAGTGCCGTAGTAGAACAACGATCGCCTCGGGAGTGATACCAGGAATTCTAAAAGCAATAAATGACCATGAACGATTAGATACCTAGTTGCGGCGGCCAGGGTCCCAGGCTTCATTCTATCCAATTTTTCCATGCACTCGTCGCTCATTCCCTTCATTAGCCCGTAGTTTATGTCTTCTGGGATCTCTGTAGTCGATTCACGTTCAATCTCAGAAATCTAAGGCCAAAGCTTTTTGTAAATATTTTGTCGAACCTTCTCCTGCATGCGTTGGTGCTGCTCGGAGTACAGCGAATCTACTCGAATCCTCTCTTCAAGTGATGTTTGTGTGCGTAGATCCGAGAACCTGACAAAAATCATAGAACGAGAAACGAAACGCACTCTGGCAACGCATCAGCAATTTCCTCGAAGGATACCGCATGACGACTGATCATATCATACGCCGTATTCACTAAAAAGGCTATGAATTCGGGATCTTGAGAGACATACCTTTTGAACTCTGACGAGGAGCCTGTAGCCGTGGTATCAAACGTCCCCATTTCGCCATACTCAACGAAACAGACTTCAGACGATCCGAAATGATAGTCAGATCATTCTCAAGTGCTTCGAAGTGTTGCCATCTAAAAATCATCATAAGAAAATGGGATCTCTACCTTCGGTCCGAGATCGCTCCATGCTCGTGCCCCAAGCGCGTAAGTCGCATATCGGCATTGTCAGGTCTAAAATAAAAAGATTAGCCTAATAAAGTTTAGCAAACCTTAGATGTAGACGACATTCCGCACGCGATGTAAACATTCGATAGGGCTCGTTTGTGCCAAGGGTTGTAAGGTCATCGATGAGGACACCGAGATAGGCTAAAGGACAATCGATCAGTACAAAAAAAATTATGACCTTGTGTCCTGCCGAGGTGAAGCGGCTCGGAGCCATTGGCACTAGCGGCTGCGTTTATCCCAGCTAGAATCCCCTGAGCAGCTGCCTCTTCATATCCGGTCGTGCCGTTGATTTGACCAGCCAGGAATAGGCCGGAAACGTTTTTCATCTGAAAAAATTTTTAGGTTCCAGTTCTAGCTATCCAAACCTCCAAACTAGTCTTCAACTGCCGCGGGTTGACGAAATCGTATTGGACACCGTAGCCGGGCTGTGCGATTTCGACTTTTTCAAGCCCAGGGATGGCTCGCATGATCTCGAGTTGAACCGATTCTTCAAAGGTCATCGACATGCCCTAAAATGGGATTTCTCTACACAACTGAATCTCTAACCTACCTGCGGATATATCAAATCTGAATCCAAGCCTTCATGCTCCAGGAAAAGACGATGTGTCAGGTGTGGAAATCGAATGACCTTGCTCTCAAGGGACGGACAATATCTTGGCCCATTGTGCTGAAATGTTAAAATAATTTTTCGAGCCTTGTTTCTCACCTCTGCCTGCACGTGCTCGTTACGATGCAAATTTGCTTGTGCTATCTCACGCACACGTTCATTCGTTTCTCCAAGGTATGTTGGTAACTGAAGAGAGGCCTTTAAAAAAAAAACTAAAACAAACCTGCTCTTCGGGTGGGAGCCAGACGTTCTCGGTCAGAAATGAAAATGGGATCGGCACCTCGTCTGGCATCATCGCCGTGAATTTCGAGAAATCGACAGTGTTCTAGGAAACGGCCTTTTTAGAATTCAAAGAACACTACCTTCACGATCCGTGGCGGGGTACCGGTTCGTAACCGCCCCAGTTCAACACCGATACGCCGAAAAGTAGCCGGAAGTCCGGTGCTGCTCTAAAAAACGGTATAAGCTGAAATCCCAGAATGACTAACCTTTTCCCCGATCCGTCCCGCTGGCCATCGCTTGATCCCCAAAAATATTTCGGCGCCTAGGAAGGTGCCGGTGGTGATGACGACCGAGCGAGCCGCCAACTTTTCGCCGGATTCAAGGATGACACCTAGGTTTAATAATTTACAAGTTGGGATAAAGAAACAAACCATTGACCACTGGTTTTCCATTTAAATCCTCGTAACTCAAGTCCTCAACTGCACCCTCGATCACCGATAACCCTGGCGTCGATTCCAATATTTCCTGAAAAATGGCAGTTCGACACCAAATTCAAAGCTACCTTTTGCATATGCTTCTTATACAGCTTGCGATCGATTTGCGCTCGTAGACCAATAACAGCCGGGCCGTGCGTACGATTTAGCGCCTGGTAGGTGATGGCCGATTTGTCACAAATCCGCGGAGAGACGCCGTCCAGCGCGTCCACTTCCCGAAGCAGATGACCTAAAACGGAAAATTAGGCGTTCGACTCCACCGCCAACCTTTCCCAATGCCTCCAAAGCTCGGGTTGCAGCTCATCTCCCCGATGGTGCTCGCTTTGTGCGTCAACAACACGGTGGAAGCACCGCATCTTGCTGCTGCTGCTGCGGCTTCACAACCGGCGTGGCCACCACCTAGAGGTCTTCGCATGACACAAATCCTCGAAAATTACCGATAACAATCACATCGTGCACAACGCTTTTTGACGAAAATTTTCGTATAATACCTAACCGGGGTAGCATCAGCTCTGAAAGTGTTCGTTTCGCGCAATTGTCTCCTTCTCCCAAGTATCGACGCTTCGGCTGACGTGTAATTGATCATTTCACTTTATTGAGTGCCAAATGTTTATTTACACCGTAGTCGACTACACGTAAGAAAAAACACTCGAAAAGCTAATGACTAGACATGACTATATACAAGAAATTACACAGTTCATCATTACTTAAACTTATTGATTGCCTCACGGACCTCGTCGATATTGGCAGCATCACCCCATTCCTTCTCCAGATGGTGCCAGACGAGACGATCGCCGTCGACAAGGTAGACGCCTAAAGAACGAATAAGAATAATAAAAACCTGCCAACCTCCGAGAAGTCGGCCCTCCCCCCTCATGTTTCCTTCGAAACCTTCCTGCTTCGTGGCCCAGACATTGCGATAGGTACCCACGCGCAAGAAGCCCATCCAAACCGGCAGCCAGCGCTGGTTGGGGCCGTAGAAGTGCTTCTAAAAAAATATGTCAAAAAATAAGAAACGGGAACAACCTCTTCATCAAAATAGATGTCTCCCTTGAAGTAGGGCTTGAATTCGTTGACGCCCTTCGTCTCGTGGACCACTCCGATGAGCGCAATTTTCTTTTCATCAAGAAGTGACTTCAGCTCGGAGAGGCTAAAAAAGCGTTTGATCGAAGTGCGATTGGCAACGGTAACGAGCTAAAAACTAAACTTACTGCGCAGCTTCACGTCTGCAAAGTAGGCATCCGGGCCGTCGAACAGCCATGACCATCGTCGGTCCCTTGTTGAAAAGGGTGGAAGCCTACCAAACAGTAACTTTATGAGCTAAACGTTTATACACCAACCTCAAGGCTCTTCGATTTGTCAACGCTCTTCTCGTCATCGATCTTGACCAACTTCGCGGAGGCTAGGTACCTAAGTTAAAAAAAATATCAAAATTGAAAAATTTCGACTTACTGAGCTGTTGGTGCAATCGCTCCGATCGTCAGCCGGGTCGGAAGATTCGCGTAGATTATCGCACCGCCAAGCGCGGCCAATGCTCCGTAGCCGATTGTCAACGCCATTTTCGCTAAAAAGGGGAACATTTAGGATTAAGAAAAAGGGGATTTAGGCTAAAACAAAAAAAAATTAAAACGGAAAACGTTTATAAACGTTTTTCAAAGCTTAGAAATGAGTACGAAATAATACTCTAGACCAATAGCTGTCAGGTGTACAGAGAAGGAAACCTATAAAGCTTCACAAAAATGAAATTTTTTGCAAGTTTTCAGCTCAAAACTTTCCAATTTGGAAGCTTTTGATGCTTTCCCTCGAGGACAACCCTGAAAACAACTTTGTTTACCACTTCTTTTTGCTGAACAAGCGTTTTTCTTTGGGGAGCGGCGTGTGCGTTGCAGGCCTCATTTCACGACGTTATGCTTACGAAACACAATTCGTTGCCCCCCTTTCCCGCTTTGAAAAGAATGACTTTCCACTTTTATAAAACTTTTCCATTTTCCCTCGCAAATTTTTGACTTTTACAACATTCTTCTTTCAGGTAGTTTCTCCATAAATTGGATGGCTGCAGCTACCAATGCCACCCCATCGCTGAAATCCGCGAACACCACGGCCGATGTTTCCCCGGGCCGCAGCATCTCCCTCAACAACGATCTCAACGGTCTCATCCACCGCGCTGACCGTTGGGTGGATGGGTCCGACCTGGAGTCGTGCGCCTTCCGCCTCGTCGCCCGTGCCCTTACCGACAAGATCACCGACAATTTGATGAGCCGCTTGACCCTGAACAACTTGCACAAGAGCCACGAGGTCGCCAAACAGCAACCATCGCTCATCCACGGGCTCACGCATCGTATGGCCAAGGAAGCGGCGAAAGAATCGCATAGGTTAGTTGCTTCCCATATATTTTTCTCAAATGATTTGATTTTTTGAAAGTCATGGCTCTTTTTTTCAGCTCACCGTCAGTGATCCTGGGCTTCACCTCGTCCGATGCCGCGCTCCAGGCCCTCGACCTCAGCAAGCAGCCCTCTCAAGTTGCCAAGATTCGCCCAAGCATGTTGAAGCGTGTTCAGACTTCTCCGGGAAAACTCGACTCGCATTTCGACGATTATTCTCGTCTCGCCATGGCTCTCGGTGGCAATTGATGATCTATTTATTCGGTTTTTTCTTCAATGTGATTATTCCTGGGTCTCGCTTCGCTTTAATTTCCTGTTGATCTCTTGCCTTGTATTTGACATCCTTATCACGGGTCGCTTCTCGACAATGATGCAGAATTAATAAAATTTTTGCGCAAAGTGTTGCAGCGCTTCTCTCCAATGGTATTTGAACCAGCATAACTCGATTTGTAGCCGGAGTGCATCAACAAAAGATCTGATTAGGGGGTCGGCATGAACGATCCTGTTGGGAAGCGATATGAGAAGTTGAAGCATTTGGGAGAAGGTCAATTCGCTAACGTCTACAAAGCGAAGGACAATACCTCTGGGGAGATTGTGGCTATCAAGAAAATCAAGCTCGGCTCGAGGACAGAAGCTCGTGATGGCGTCAACCGGACTGCCCTGCGTGAAATCAAGCTGTTAAAAGAGGTATGACCACTCGCAGATTGAAAGTGACCGGCTTCAGATTCATCACGAAAACATCATCTCTCTTCGCGACGTTATCGGCAACAAGAGCAGCATTTCGCTCGTCTTCGATTTTATGGAGACTGACCTCGAGCATTTGATCAAGGACTCAAATATCATCTTGACAACGCCGCACATCAAGAACATGATGCTCCAGACGTTTCTCGGACTCAACTTTCTTCATGTCAACTTCATCGTCCATCGGGATCTCAAGCCCAACAATTTGCTGATGAACAGTGCCGGTCGAGTGAAGATTGCTGATTTTGGTCTCGCCCGTTTCTTCGGGTCGCCGAATCGCGTGTATACACATCAGGTAAAACACGTCCTTTTGTTGTGACTTTCTTTTAGGTCGTCACACGATGGTACAGGTGTCCAGAGCTCTTGTATGGGGCTCGAAGCTACGGAGTGAATGTTGACATCTGGGCGATGGGATGTATTTTTGCTGAGCTGTTGCTGCGAAACCCAATTTTCCCCGGCGAAAGTGATCTCGACCAGTTGATCAAGATTTATCGGTTGGTTTAGGATGCTTGACTCTATATCAGATTTTTTAGTTTTCTGGGTACGCCAACCACGGAGGACTGGCCTCTAATGGAGAGCCTGCCAGACTACATCCCCTTCAGGGAGCCCTGTCAACGTAGGTTTTCGGGAAATAGTGATGATTGGTTCAGGTGTCGATTTGCGCCAAGTCTTCTCCGCGGTATCAGATTCGGCGATCGAATTGCTAGAAAAGATGCTCGAGTTTGATCCGCTGAAGCGATGGGATAGCGACCAATGCTTGAGCTCCGTCTACTTCCAGGTACATTTTTTTCCTTTTTGCATCTTGAGGAGATTTTAGGTCGAACCCTTCGCTTGTGATGATTCCGAATTGCCTTTGCCAAATAGGAGCGGCCCGGCTGTCTCTAAAAGGTAACGAACAAATGGCGTGAATTTTGATTCTTCGGTTTAGCGAAGCAATATGACGTAACCAATTTAGACGTCGTCCTATGGAAGATGGCGTGAAAGATTCACCGATTCGCCGTCTCGTGTTTGATTGAAGACTGACATTCGTTTTACCTTTTGTGATCTTCCTCCTCTTCTTTTATAGTCTTTTAATTTGTCCTACATTTTTTTCTGTGCAGACAGTTCTTTGCGTGTTTTCCAGCTAACGGGTCTATGCCTAATATAATATAGCTTTCAATTTCAGGTAGCTAATCGATATGGTTGTCGCAGCCGCTACACATGTAGGCGATTATTCATATTTCTCAATCAGACATCTTAGGAAAAACTCGACGATGTTGATATTGCACTCGCAGCGGAGGACGGCCAGGTGAAGCGGGGCCGTGACTCGAAAATGTGCCACCACAACGATCGACAGAAATGCACTCACTGTCTGCCGATAGATGTAAGGTTGTCTAATTTACAGGACCTTTTTGTTTAGCCGTATGATGAAGAGTACTTGAAATCCAAAGACATCAAGCACATGTCGTTCCATGCATATGTCCGGAAGTTGACACAAGGCCACGGAAAGGTTTGGGAAATGCTACGGTTCGGCTTATGCGCTTTCTTTAGGGCTCCAAGTTACGAAAGCCCCTCGAAACTCCGCGAGTCAAGGTCGATCTCACTTGCGACTCGCACAAGCCCTTCCCCGTAGGCATCTGCACTCGCTGCCGCCCGCCGATGGTCACCCTCAACCGCCAGGTATAACAATTTTTCTACGCAGCATTACCGTTTCAGAAATTCCGTCACGTCGACAACATTTCCATTGAAAACCAAGATATTGTCAACCAATTCTTGAACTATTGGCGCAAGAGTGGACACCAGCGAGTCGGCTACTTGATTGGAAAGTAGGTGTCGTATCGGCGCTGCAAATTATTTTCTTTGTAGATATGAGCCTTTCACGGAGGTTCCACTCGGCATCAAGGCTCGTGTCGCGGCTATTTACGAGCCACCGCAGACAACAAGCGAGAACGGCTTCAAGCTCCTCGATGACCCGAACAAGGAGGCCGTTGATAAGGTATGATGTTGACTACATTCGCATAAACAATTCCCCATTCAGTTGTGCAACTGGCTGGGCTTGACGCGCGTGGGCTGGATTTTCACAGATCTCTGGACGGAAGACGCGACGAAGGGCACGGTGCATTGCCTCCGAAATGCGGTAGAAACTTCCGACGAAAACTAAAATTCTCTTTAGAAATCATTCCTTCTTTCCGCGGAGGAATGCATCACGGCGGGATGGCTGCAGAACCAGCACCCGAACATCACAGAGTTTTCTTCAGATGGAAAATTTGGCTCGAAATTCGTGACGTTGGTGGCTTCCGGAGACGACAATCACGAAATCAGCTTCCATGGATACCAGGTGCGACATTTGGAACCGGACTATTCATTTACTAGGTTTCCAACCAATGCGCTCAACTCGTCGATGCCGAAGTTCTGTGCCCGACCCAGTACCCTGAATTGGCCTACATCCGCGAGCAAAAGCTCCGCGACGACCATTACATCACGGATGTCCAATTTACGGTATTCACGCTTTTTGCGGGTTAAAATCGGCTTTTCAGATGAAAAACGAGTACGGCGCTGAGGTCAGCAAGAATGGGCGTCCGTTGCCGGTGAGACGAGTTTTCTGGAAAAAACCTCGTTTAGGTGGAATTCTTGTTGGTCGATGTGCCGGCGGGTATGCCAAAGGATCCGGAGGGCACATTCCACGTTGGCGGCTCGGAGTTTGCCATTGAAAATCGGACAATTATCGGCGAAATTCAGGTTTGGAACTTCCTGCGGAAACAATAATGCATTTTTTCAGGGCGGCCCGAATTTGGCGGAGTACCAAGAGGGCGCGATGGAGAAGGACATGATGGACGCGGTCACCAATTTCCACTTCCTGCTCTTTTTGATGACGAATGATTTGGTGAAATTTTCCGATGATGAGGTAGTTTTCGCAAATTGTGAAGGGACGCACTTTTTTAGGTGCGAAGCCTTTGCGAGAGCATCCGCCAGCAGAATGCTCACAAGGTGATCGACTGGGGTGCGAACACGGAGAACTGGAATACGCTCGTCGCGCTCTCGCATCACCACAAGGAGATGGGTAAGAATGTTTTCCAAAGCTATTCATTTACATTGGTTTCTTGGTCTTCTATCAGGGCAGAATTTTAAAAAAAAAACACTTCGAAATATTTGGTAACTGAGGGGTTTTTCTCGAAAAACAGAAATTTTTGGTATTTTTTTATCGTAAATTTAAAGTTTTAATGTCAGGAATAGTAAAAACAATTGTTTAGAAATGCTTCCTCTATTTATATTATCAAAACAGATACCTAAAGACCGAAGTTTATTTTCGCCGATATTGGAAAAGAACGGTTTTGGAAACAATTCAATTCCAGGTGGCGGCGGCGGCGCTGCAGCGGCTTCTTCGTCAGGCGGCTCAACGGGCGGCGCCACCTGGGATTGCCCCCACTGCACCTTCCACAACAACATCACCGACGCCGAGTGCGCCATGTGCAGCTTGCCACGTAATTAATAACTTTCGTTCTCGCCTGTTTATATGCTTCTCCCTTTCACAGCTTAATGCTCTTACTTGCGTGTACACATTTTGTAGTCGCCGAAACCGGTCTTTTTGCTTGGCTTTTTACTGGTGTTTTTTGCTGCGGATAAACACATTTTTTATGTTTAGTTATCGTTGAAAATGGCAAGGGTTTTGGCGGGATTATCGTGGTAGCCTTGCGCTCGCGCTCGGGCTGAAATGGGCGGTTTCTCGATAGCTGGGCTCGTAGCGGCGTTTCCATTCGTAGAAGTCTTCCTGAAATCCGGGTTTTATTTTTTAGGGTCTTGAGCGTCTCCGGGGGGGGATAAAAATACCAAAAATATCGGTTCTAGAATAAAAGACACTGGTTTTGAAAATTCCTAAGTTTTATAAATAGCTTTCCAAACCTACCATTACTCTGTCTTCGTGCTGTCTGATCGCGTCGATTGCCATTCGTTTGGCGATCAGCCTCCGCTTCCATTCCGGCACACGCGTCTGGGAGTTGCGTTCGAATTCGGGGGTCTAGATGGAGTGATCAAATTCCGATTTAACCGATGCCAACCTGGTCGAAAAAGAACTCGGTGGTGTATACTTGGCGGGCCCTTAAAATGTCTGCTTCCGCTCGGCGACGCATCGTTTCGACGTCGTAGCGGTGCTGCTCATTTAGCTCGTGGACTGCTCCAATGGGGCGGGCGGCTTGAGGAATGGCCTAGAAAAGCTGAGCTTTTTCTGTGTTTTTTCCGTCCTCTGGATTTTTAAGGTATGGCATCTAAGGCATACGATTTTTAAGATTTTACGTTTTACTGTTTAGGCTAATTTTACTAACCTTCAGATCATCGATCACGTATTCAGAAAGAATCGGAGCTTGACGCGTACTTCCGGGCGGTGAGACGGCCAACCTTCGCATCCGTTGACTGACTAAAGCAGTTGATTCAGATAAGATTATGAAAATTTCAAGAAGGTGAGGGGGAGATCGCCCTATTAAACTAGATATGCTTTGAAACCTAACCTGGCTAGTATTTGATAAGTCTCAAAGGCTCAAAGTTTTTTAAATGAGATTTCTACTCTCAAAATGTCAAATTTTCAAAAAATTTGGAATTTTCCTCCAAGCCCGCCATCGTTTGGCCGAAAATCTGATTTCTTTGTACTTGGAAAACCGGATCATAACAAGAAATTTGCCCCGTTCACCGATATTTCCCGCCCCCCAATGCAAAAGCACCAGATCCAACCCACCTTCCTCAGCCAACACTCCCTGGTGCGGGTCTTCCGGGTAATTGTCCGGATCATAACCTCGCGGATATTGCCGGAAGGATAGGTTCATCGCCTGACAATTGTAAGTTCCTCCTTGAAGATGTTTAGCGCGTACCTGGACCTTCCCCCGCACTTGCTCAAAGTCCAGCTGCTCGTCCTCCTCGAGCGCGCTGTCCAGCTCTTCTAGTACCTAATTTGTCATGGTTGTTTCTGTTTTGGTTTTACCCTACTCGCCGTCTCCTCGGTCGTATTTCGGCGCACGCGCATCGGTGGTAATTTTCGGGGCGGCAGAACTCTAATGTGGGCGTAAAAATTAATGTTTTTATTCTTACGGTGCATTTTCTAGGACTTCGTGGATGTGGTGCGTTGGTTCGCCGAAATAGTCATCGGGTAGTTCTTTGTGGACTGGATAGACAACGCGATAGTCGGCTAAAATTAAATTAAAATTGAAAGATTGATTCACCAAATTGATGAAAGGCTAAAATTGATTAGATATGTCATTTTTTGCAATTTTCATGAAGAAAGTAATGGCTCTAAATGACTTACCCCTTACTTTCGGCTTATCCCGGAGTGTGTAATCGATTGGCGGTTCTTCGGGTGGGATACTAAATGATTTATGATTTAAGTTGTTAGGGGAGGAGGAGTTTCTTGGTTGTTTTTCTGACCCCTAAAGGTAAAAATTTTACAAATTTTGTGGAAAAATACGACAAATATAGATTTTCGACCAACATTTCATTTTGTTCACGATCGTTATTTCTATCGTACTATTTCATTTATGCATTATTATTTTCTGTCGATTATAAAAGTCCTACCGGTAGTGTAACACGTTTGGGCCGGCGGTTTTAGGATTCGGTTTCGTCGGCGGGAAGACGCGCGTGCCGATTGAGTTGTACATCGAAAAGGATCGAAATTTGCGAGCAGCAAAATGCATAGAAGGTAATTTTCAAAATATTGACAATTCGCATTTAGAAAATCAATTAGGAGAGTGTTTCCCAGGCGTCAAGAGCGGGACGGAAAAACGCGCATGCCGATTGCGCTGTACATCGAAAATGTAGATTTTTTTACGAACAGAAAAGGGTATAAAAGGTAATTTAAAGTAGAATTGATAGTTGGTGGTTAGTGAAATCCTTCGACGTTAATTTCCTGGGCGTAGAGGGCGTGGCGTGAAAACGCGCATGCCAATCGAGTTATACATCGAAAAAAGTGGAAATATTTTTGAAGTGATAGATCCAAAAAGGTATTTATAAATGGGAATAAGCATCGTTTAGGGTTTTAGACGCGTCAATCGAGTTGTACAGGGAAAAATTGTCGAAAATTTTGAAGTTTTAGGTATAAAAAGGTACGTCTACAGGTATTAAGTAAGGAATAAAAGTATTAAGTATCAATTAGAGCCTTAAAAGAGGATTTTCTAGGCGTAATGGGCGCGGCGGGGCCCTGGAGAAATCGAGACGGAGACGTCGTAAACATCTTTTGTGGGGCTCGGCGCACACAAACGCGCAGAAAGAAGAAGAGCCCGGCTTGCCGATGGTGGGGAGGGACTGATAAGTTGGTGAGGCGGCATTGAGGCCTGAAGCGCCTGTATATACAGTGCCGTTGGAGCCTAGGCTAAGCGTATTATTATTGGGCTGGGGCGGATTGCGGCGAGTAGTTTTTCTTGCGGGGCGAAAAGCCTGTGGCAACGGGCCCGGCCCGGAATGAATTCCGGTTAGTAAGATAGGATTGCAGTCGAGATTTAGGTGGGATTTTTCGCGTTTTATCTTGTAAACTATCCAGCTTAAAAGGTCATGAAGCTTAAATGATGAAAAGGACGTTGAACTTAAACTTTTTGACATGAAAAATTTCAAAAGTATAGAAAATTAAAAAAAAAATCATTAAAAACCGGTACTTTCCTATTATCAGGGGAGAAACAACATTTTTCATCGCATGTATTTTTCTTAATTCTAATAGAGGAAGTTTTTCTAACCTGTTTTTACCATTCCTAAAAGTAAATTTTACGAATTTTTATGAAAATTCAAAAAATATTGATTGTTAAAAATGGACGATTTTGGAAAAAATTTCAAATTTTTAAAAAGCTATAAATTTGTAAGATATTTTTCACTTTAAATACCGTGGAACACTATGAAAACACGTAGTTCACATTTCTGAACCCACCCCCCGATAACGCAAAATAACCGAAAAATCAATAGCAAAGTCGGAAAATTGCGGTATTTTTGGCTGTTTTGGGGCCGTGCCAACCGGGAACTGTTTATTTACAGGGTCGGTTGCTCCCGGCTGATAACTTCTTCCGCCCGCCTACTGTTGATTGTGCGAGCCTGCAAAAACTATCAGAAAGGTATTCAGGGGGTTGGTTGGGTGGGTCAGGCGGGGTCAGGAAGGGGGGGGGGGCTGACTGTGAATCAGGCTAGGCGAGGTGCTTGACCGGAAGGAATGAATAGAGCCGGACATGTTTTGGGGACCGACGGGTGACTGGGTCGGGGTTTTTGGGGGAGGCTAGGGTTGTGACTGTGTTTTGGAGTAACGCGTCGTTTTATAGGGGTGGTGACAGGGACTTGAGCTTAGCTGAACTTGGCTTAGCTTCACCTTAGGCTTCGCTTAGGCTCGGTCTTAGCCGGAACACCCCAAAATATCGACAGCCGAAATCCCCGAAATTCAAAATACCGACAGACGAAAGGTGGTTACGCAAAATCTCGACAAAAAAATTCAGACTGGAAAAATATCGACAACCGAAATCCCGAAATGCAAAGATCCCGTGAATCCAAAATACAGACAGTCAAAATCCCGACAGCCGAAATGGCTATTTAACTGAAAACCAGGGTTGAAAAACCGCTTCGCGGCTTTTCAACCCTGGCCCCGTCCAGGACCTGTGAAAGTCCTTCATTTGCATGTTTCTTCCTGAATTCTAGCAAGAAAAAAGTGAAAAACGGCTCCTCTGTCCCTTTATATAGGCTCTTCCTACTTCCGGCGCATGCTAATTTCCCCTAACAAACAGGGTTTTACAAAAACCTATTTTTAATAGCGAAAACCACAATTTTTAAAAATTTTTATGTGTGTGCAGTCGATTCCGGACCATTCTAAACCTATTGTCGTTTCTTACCTATCCAAAAAACCCTTCCCCGAGGCTGTAGGAGCGGAACATCCTAACGGAAGTGCATGCAAATACACACACACACACACAAACACTATTTTTTTTTATATCCTACTATATATAAAAAAATAGTGTCTGTGTGTGTGCATTTGCATGCAACTTCCGTCCGGCTGTTCCGCACGTATCGGATCAGAGGAAGGCTTTTAAGGCACATATGATACGTCATTAGATGCGTAATGGCGCCGAGATAAGTGCACGCACATAAAAGTTTGGAAAAATTACTGTTTTCGCTATTAAAATCGAGTTTTTGTAAAGATATCGAGAAACCTCTTTGTTAGGAGGCAATTTGCATGCGCCGGAAGTGCGGTAAGCCTGTATAAGGGCGCGAAAGGGGTTCTTTTCATTTTTTTGCGATCAAGGTCCTGGAAGAATATGCATATTTTTGACTATCATGTGCGTTAGACGGGGCCAGGGTTGAAAAGCCGCGAAGCGGTTTTTCAACCCTGGTACAGGGTTGAAAAACCGCTTCGCGGCTTTTCAACCCTGACCCCGTCCAGGACATGTGAAAGTCCTTAATTTGCATGTTTCTTCCTGAATTCTAGCAAGAAAAAAAGTGAAAAACCTCTCTTCTGTCCCTTTATATAGGCTCTTCCTACTTCCTGCGTATGCTAATTTCCCCTAACAAACAGGGTTTTACAAAAACCTATTTTTAATAGCGAAAACCACAATTTTTCAAAAATTTTATGTGTGTGCAGTCGATTCCGGACCATTCTAAACCTATTGTCGTTTCTTCCCTATCCAAAAAACCCTTCCCCGAGGCTGTAGGAGCGGAACATCCTAACGGAAGTGCATGCAAATATACACACACACACACACACACAGACACTATTTTTTTATATACAGGGTGTCCCAAAAAAAACGAACCATCTGGCATTTTGCCGTGTTACATCCAATCGGTCCCAAATTCGGACCAGAGGTGTATCAGACCCTAAATAACAACAATCCTGAATTATAGCTCTGTAGCTACAGTAGTTCTCGAGTTATGGCAAAAACAAACTTTATTTTGTATTTTTCATAGGGTTTTCGTGGAATTAGACCCCTTTAATATTAAGTGAAAATGATCCGGAAGGCCTTCTTTACCTTAAGAAATTTTTTCCAGTGTAAAATTAATTAAATAAGCTTCGATTTAAGCGATTTTTACAACGCAAAATTGCCCAGTTGTTAAGCGAAATTAGGGATTCGTAGCGGGAAATCGATGCAAATCGATGCAAAGTCCAAAAAGATAGCCGAAAAAACTGTTTAAAATTGCATGAAAAACAGTATTTTCGTTATAACTCGAGAACGACGATAGCTACGGGGCTATAAGTCAGGATTGTTGTTATTTAGGGTCTGATACACCTCTGGTCCAAATTTTGAGCCGATTGCATGTAACACGGCGAAATGCCAGATGGTTCGTTTTTTTTGGGACACCCTGTATAGTAGGATTTCTTTAAAACTAGCGCTTAGGATGTAAAGTTGATTTAATTGTCGTGACGGTATTTTGTTCTGTCGGGATTTTGGTTGTCGGGATTTTGGTGGTCGGGATTTTGCCGTGTCGGGATTTTCCTTGTCGGTATTTTGTCTAGTTGGGATCAGATGTATCGGATTTTCCTTGTCGGTATTTTAGCATTTTGGGTTTTTACTGTGGGGATTATGGCTTTCGGTATTTTGGCACGTCAGGGTTATAGCTGTCTGGATTTTAGCCTGTCGGGATTCTGGCTGCCGGGATTTCGATCTGTCGGCTCTTTACCGTGTCGGTATTTTTGATTGTCGGGATTCTAGGCTAGCCAAAATAGACTCCTTTTTGACGCGATTTTCCAGGCTTTTCCCCTCCGCCTCTGGCCGGCGCACAAAGGGCTATATTCTCGCCCGGGCGCCGTAAACTCCGGAATTTGCGGCCTGTAAACGGGCCAAGTTGATTGCATGCTATTCTGTGCGCTGTTTGCCAGGAATCTCCTCAAAAAGTCGTCCATATTTATGCAAAGTACACGGCCAAAAATGCACTAGGAAAAACACGCACACGCTTCATATGTAAATCACATTGCACCAAGGGGGGCGAGAGAATTTTCCGTAAATAGGCAAGGAAGGGAAATGTGGGTGATCGATTTTTAAAGGGATAATGAAGTCAGAAAAGTAAACTTTAAACTACAAAAAGATCACATGATTTCTATTTCTTTTTATTCAGATTTTTTAATTTGTTGCAAGCTTTTCTAACTGAATTTTGACTTCATTGGCCCTTTAAAAACGGGGGAATAATATTCGAAGAATGCTGAGTGGTATACGGTACCCGTAGCGTAGTGGATTGAACTAAATGGAATAAAATAGTGAGAAAAGACAATGTGCAACTAGGCAAATGGGCTAAAAACGAGAGGAGCACCATAAAGAAGGAGAAGGGAAAATTGTATGGAATCGGATATGTAAATTTGGCAAGGTTTGGGCTTGGGCTTAGGCTTAGGCTTCAGCTTAGGCTTATCTTGGACTAGCTTAGGCTCAGCTTGGGCTTAGGCTTAGACCTAACTAGGGCTTGTGCTGAACTTGGGTTAGGCTTAGGCTTAGCTTAAGCTTAGCTTAGGCTTAACCTAGTCTTAGCTCAGGCTTAGCTTGGGCTTAGGCTTCGACTTCGGCTTAGCTTAGGCTAGGCTTAGCTTGGGCTTAAGCTTTATAAAAATATATCCTCCGTCAGCAAGCTGTTCGACTGCTTCTTCAGTGAGGAGTAGCGCGGCGAGTCCTGCTGAGTCAGCGTGGAGAACATTGAGCTTTTCGGCGAGGACCTGGAAATTTGTACTTTAATACATTCATCAAATTTAAATGGAGCAGGAACCTTAAGCTCAACTTATTCTAAACGCAGCTCATGCTCACACCGGCCAAAATAATCATTTCATCAGACAAAATCAGAAAAAATATTTTTTTACATGCAAACACGCCGGGCCGGGCTGCGGGGCCTACTTTTAGTCTCTTTTTGGGTGTCTCGAAATTCTCAGAGTAGCACACACTTCGGGGTTGCGATCTGGGGGCCGCCGAGGGGACCGGCCGACTCGTCGAACGAGCCACCGGCTGAGGAGCGGTAGCTGTTGATCGATTGGAAGAAGCGGAGCGAGGTTTGGACCTGGAAAAATTGGTTTATCGGTGTTTATATATATCTTCTTGTTGTCGCTCTCTCTCAACCTCCCTCTCTCTCTCTTTCCCTCGCTCTCTCTCAGGCTCTCCTTCTGCGTCCCTGTCTCTCCCTGAAGCTTCCTCTCGCACTCACTCACTCTCTCGTTCTCTCGCTTTCTATTGTGCTCTCTCTGTCGCTCTCTCCTTTCTCTCGCTCTCACCCTCTAACACTCCTTGTAGCTCCCGCTCTCGTGCTCGTTCTCTTACATTAAGACTCCATGGTTTCTCTCTCTCTCTCTCTCTCTCTCTCTCTCTCTCGGACTCCCTTTCTCACCTGTTGCCTCAAACTCCGATGCAAATTTGACGGCGAGCAATTCTGAGAGAGTGTTGACCGCTTCCTCCGCTCCGACATGAGCCTGAAAACACAAATTAATTTTAAACTTTTAATCCCGAAATTTTCAATCTTGGCAGATCGATTACGCCATGAAACCCCCCTATTTTTGACCCCAGTAAAACTCAAGATCCCACATGTTTCGTGACTTTTTGGGGGGATTAGGTGATGCTCCGCTCGCGCGTTTATAAGAAGCCATTTATAAGCTTCAATTTTTAGGGGTATACGCTGTTGCGATTACGTCCCGAGCTCTCTCTCTCTCTCTCTCTCTCTCTCTTTCTATCTCCAGCTAATCCTCAAAAATGAGGATTCCCGGCTTCTCAAGTGTTCTTTTTTGGGGGCCAGTGGCCTTTAGATGGTTAATCTGGACCATTTACGCAAGGCCGTCAAATGGAGCGCAGCGGAGCCTCAATATTAGTCACGCTCAAAAGCAGCCAATTTCAAGAAAAATGGCTGGATTTCTGGGGATTACGGTAGGCCGGGATGGTGAGAAATCAAAGCCAGGATTACATTTTGATTTTTCATATTTCAGAGATTGTTTTGGAAGGGGATCGTTGGTTTGGAGCTTTGGCATTATCGGGGGGGTGCTAAATTCTTTCTTTAGTTTTTTTGATAGATTAGCTGTTTCTTCGATTCCTAAACAGAAACTTTACTATTTTTTACTAAAAAATACAAAAATATCGGTGTTTTTCACAAAGAATTTCGATTTTTAATTTTCTAAAATTTTCCAGACGGTTTTCGCAATTAAAAAATTGTTAAATTTTGCAAAAATAGTATTAAAGCACCTACTATGACGTTACTAGCTATTTCTGGCGTTACTAGCTAGCTATTTTGGGAAACCCCCCCCCCCATAATGCCAAAGTACCATTTATCTAGTCTTAAGTTGTAGATATTTTTTACGCTACAGTACCCCACAAAACTTACCGTATCAAATTGCGGAGGTCACGATTTAGGGCCGCGTAAAAGACCCAATCCCCGGCCGCGTTTGCATACGTCAGCCAGTTGACGACAAAAAGGACGCATTGCATCACGCTAAAAATGTGGGAAATTAGCATAATAACCATTTTTCGGCATAATTTTTAATAATTTGCATACTTTCAATAATTACCTGAAATCCGTAAAATTGTCGAATTGGCGGAGCGAGGCGACGAGCTGCGAGTAGACGCTCTCCGAGGGCAGCAGCTGGAAGATGCAGAACGGCGCGTAGCACACCACGTGGAACACGCCGACCCTGCAAAATTTGCATAACATATTACATAAATCTATGGCATTTAAATAATTGAAGAAAGCTCAATTAAAAATATTCTAAACCCAAAAATTGATCCAATTTTACAATGCCGAATTTAGCGTAAAATTAAAATTAAAGAGATTTATGCAAATTAAGGGGCGCTGAAAATTTGCATAAAGCTGATCAATTCCAGTACTTTTCTTGTAAAAATTCCTAGAATTTGTGCAAATTACCGTATGATGGCGTTCGTCATCTCGCGCATATATTTCGGCTCGTTCACCTCGCCGGCGCGCGAGTTGGCCACCACTGAAAATTTCGGGATTAAAATTTTAATGCAAAGAATATTTTTTTATATCAACTATAATAATTTTGCTGTGGTCTCCGTCTGTCCGTGTGAAGCCGAATTCAACTCGAAGGGGAAAGGAGCTAAAGCTTAGCTCTCTTCGGATTCGGATAGAGCGTGGTCAGAAACCCCCAAACTGATAAAAAAATTATGAAAAAGTATTCGTTTAAATTATTAAATTTAACTTTGAAAGTTTTACTTAGTAAAAGGAGTGGGGGACATAGTGAGCCAGGTCGCGCGCGTTTCGGCCTAGGGGAGGGAGCGCACAGGGGGCAGCACGAAGTCCAGCCGCTTGCAGCGGCAACGCCGCTGTAAGCGGCTGGAATAGTAGGATTTTCTTTGTATCTGAATACCGACATTTTGAATGCGATATTTTTGAGCCATTTTCGCGTTAGAAGTTCATAAAAATCTACGCAAAGTTTCCTTTTTTTCTGGTCAGGAATTTTGTGGGAGTGCATCTTTCTTGTCTTTCCTATTTTCAATTCTTTTCACTAGGGGACAATTCGCTTCCGGAATCCTACCGGAAGTCTCGAGGAAAATTGCAATTTTTCGGGCCCCAGCTGCTGCTCGGAAATCCGATTTCTTGGCGCAATTTGGGGGGTGAGTAGCATCAAAGAACTTTTGGAAGCGAGAGAGAGAGAGAGAGAGAGAGAGAGAGAGATAGAGAGCGCGAGAAACACCTATTGAAGCCGGCCAATCGTCAGGAATCAGGTGACAGGAGCCCGGATTAAGGTGGTGGCAAAATGTTTGTTTGCGCCCACCCTCGCATCAAATATCCCTCTCGAACTGTATAAAAATGAAAGGTAGAAAATGATAGGAACACTGGCTTAATCCGCTAATCCTCCCCCACATTCACAATTATTTGGCAGGCGGAAACCGGCAGGGAAAGGGATGAGGGAAGGAAAAATGTACGTAAACAATTTGGGGGAACGGGATCCGGAAAGTTTTTTGTGTGCCTTTATGAGATCATAAGCTCTAATTAGGGGATTAGGGGAAATTTATCTCGAGACATTGGTGATCCTTAAAAACGTCTACGCATGCAAAGTCTCGATTTTCGATATTTTTCTGGATCTTTGGCATTATCGGGGGCCTAATTTTTTCTTCAAGATCTGGAAATCCTTAGTAACGTAATAACAAATGTTGTTTAATAAACATTTGAGAAAAATAAGATATATTTGCAGTGGAAAAACTGGCAAAACTGAAAAATTGTCTTCGAAAATCGGCCGTTTTTTGTCGAGGAATCTAAACTTTTTAATATTTAAGATTGGTAAAATTTTCGCCTCTAAGAAAAGTAAAAAAAATAGCTAGAGACGGTTTAGAAATTGCCCAATTTGATGCCTAATAAGAACAGTTGGTTTTTCTTTCAAAAAAAGCGCCCCCACCCCCGATAATGAAAAAGTGCCGCTTTTCTCATCTCTGAAGAATCGAAATTACTATTGGTCAGCTACAAAAACGCGGGTTTAGAGAATCTCATACAGAAGAATTTGTAAGATTCTTTAACGCGTAAAAGACGGCTTTTTTTCGTGAATTTCTGACTTTCAAACTCATTTTCTTATAATTACGCAAATTCAGAATATTCAAAAGCACAAAAAATTCCGCGCAAATCCCTCTGACGCAAAACCGTAACGGACTACAGTATCGAAAAACCAATCATCTCCCAATCGCCATTACAAAATGAGAAAGGGCAAATGAACATGGAACAGCCGAGGATTCCGAGGGAATCCGGTCTAGACCTGCCCCACTTTGTACCCTGGATTGGCACGGAATTCTTTGTGTTTAGGGGGGGGGGGCAAACGAGCAGAGATTATTGGAGGAAAATAAAGATGGAAAATCCTCACCTCTTTGCCTCCGTTTCGTGAACTTCCTCCTGACGTGGCGCACGATTTGGCCGTAGTTGGAGGCAATTATTGCTGAAAAATTGATGGGGTAATTAAGTCTCTGCGGTTCTTGTGCATTATCGGGGGACAAACGTTAAAAACTTTAAAAGTAGTCAAATTTTACTTTTTCTAAGCCTAAGCCTAAGCTAAGCCTCAGCCTAAGCTCCAAACCCACCTAGCGACAAGGTGAAGGCGATGCCAACAAGAAAAGCTGCCGCTCTCGACCAGCCGCTTGTCGTTGGCCATCGCAGAATGCAGTTTGTAGCCTCCTGCGTGACCACGACAGAATACGTCTAAATACGGCTTGAAGAGGCTTGTATGCGACTGACCTCCATGAAGATGGCCGCCAAGATGGAGGACATGGCGAGAATGCCGAAGAGGGGAATGAACTGGATGAAGCGTTTTCGGATCTGAAAGTTGAATTTGGGTCTTTTCAGAGAGAGAGCGAGAGAGAGAGAGAGATAAAGAGTGAGAGAGAGAGAGAGAGAGAGAGAGAGAGAGAGAGAGAGAGAGAGAGAGAGAGAGAGAGCTTCCTAACGTACCCTCGTCGAAAACGGCTTGCGTATCGTCACGTAGCGCTCGATGGAAATGCAAGATAGGCACGTGATGGAGGCAAATTTGACCGACATCTCCAACAAGAACACCGCCCGGCAACTCATCATATCTGGAGCGACAGGTTAAGCTTAGGTTTAGGTTTAGGTTTGGCTTAGGCATAGCTTATTAGGCATGGTTTAAACATGGCTTAGACATGGCTTAAGCTTACCGAGCCTCATCTCGGGCAGCAGCAAGTAGAGTGTGCGCACCAACAACGCCATCAGCACGGTCAGATCAACGACGGCCAGGCAGGCGATGTACATTCTGAATTTGGATTAATCCATGGTTTCATCACGGTTTTTGAGGGTTTAAAGGGGCAGTGCCAGGTAGAAAAAGTGTTTTTGAACTCAAAATCGAAAAACCCGTTTCGGTGAGCTGGGCAAAAGGATCGTTTGCGGTGAACATTGAAAAAAATCAGATTTGTTGCCCGGCTGGTCCCTTTAAAATCGTTTTGCGATTCCAAAATAGGTCGTAAAAACCAAAGGACCACGGCCTCGTGGCCTATGCCTTCTCCGGCAAAGACCGGAAGTGCTTTTCCGGATATTCGAAAAGGTTTTCGGCTTTTTCGGAAGCAATAATCCGGATTTCCGTGGCCATCCGACCATACGACACGTGCAAGATGCAAAAAATGATTTTATCGCGCTCAAAAAGTTGTTACAGTATGCTACACATAGAATTTTAATTTTAAACAGAATTAAACGCTAGGTTAATAAAATATATACCTCAATCGGTCGGACGGCGAATTGTTGGCCATGTTATTCTTGGGGCGTCGACTTCTAAAAGGCGCCATTGCTACCGTATGCCCATTTTTTACAGTACCTTAACACTGACGATATCACCCAGCCATTCCCGATGATGCCCACATTGACGGTAATTATGTACAGCGCCGCCGCGCTGTAGTGGAACAGCATCTCTGAAAAATGGTTGTAAAAATTTGTATTTGATTACGGTATCGATAAAATATTGTAAAAAATGGAAATAGACGATAGGTGTACTGTAGTAAAGGAAAAAAATGCCTAAAACTCAGAAACCGCGAACAGATACGGTAATTCATGGATTCAAGGGGGCTGCTGTCCGCTACGGTAGTCCGCTACAGTACTTTGTAGCCTGTCGGAAATCCAGATGACCGTTTCTAGCGTAGTTTTGCGTCTGGTGAGAATCTTGGCACTGTTTTCTGTAGTTTGTAGCCTTACGAAAATTCGGAAATTTTTAAAGAGTGTGGCTTGCAGCAACAGTAAAGGAATTCGTCAAAACTGTATTTTCTAGCCTTATGTAAATTTGAGGGTCCTTTAAAAACGCAGCTCAGAGCGTTTAGAAAAATTAAGAATTCGTCAAATTGTAGTTTGCAATCTTAGAAGAAATTCGAGAATTACAAAATTTTGGTTTGTAGCCGTAATTAAGGTCGAGAATTTTCGGATTCGGAAATTCGTCGAACTGTAATTTGTAGCATGGCGGAACGTTTCCACTCTCCTTTCGTACCTTGTTCAACTCGTGGATCCCCGTCAAATACATGCCAAAACGGTTCCATCCCCTCCAAAAAGTAGAGTCCCTCGCCGCCAGAAAACGAGAATATAGCCTTCGGGGGGACACTGGCGGTCAGCCAACCAAATCAATTAATAGCCAACACCAGGAGGCGAGTGAGACTCACGTAGGGAGGTGCGCCCCGCCGAAGCCAGATTTCCCTCTTAGCCACCACCTACCACCATCACCAAAGCCACGAGCCGCCGCCGCCCAATTGGGTTATCAATTTGCACTTGCACGTGTGGGGGGAATAGATGGGGAGAATGAGGCTTTAAAGGGGTTGGGAAGGCAGGAATCGGCCTAATCCCGGCGGCCAAATCCCGATAGGCAAAAAATCCCGACCGTCCAGGATGTCGATAGCTCAAAATCCCGAAGACAAAATCTCGACGGCTCGGGCTCCGATAGCCAAAATGTCGACAGCCTAAATCCCGCCAAGGGAAAATCCCGACTGCCAGAATACCGACAGCCCAAAATGGCGACAGTCCAGAATGTCGACAGCCTAAATCCCGACAGCCCAAGATCCCAATAACCCAAAATGCCGACAGCGCGGACCGCCGAATCCCGACAGCCAAAATCCTGACAGACTACAATCGCGACTGCCAAAATCCCGACAGACCAAAATCTCCACATCCAAATCCCGACATTAAAATACCGACAGCCGAAATGCAAAATTGCTGCTTAAAAGGAAACAGAGCTCCAAACTAGCTTCAAGAATATGTCGGGAATTTGGCTACTGGTATTTCGGCTTTCGGCATATTTACTGTCAAAATTGATAGACATCAGAATGATAGCACTGTCATTTCCGTCCCATTAAAAAAATCACGAAAGCCGACAATATCGAAAAGATCAGTAAATGCCGCGAAAAATGACAAATTCACGAAAGGTCAGGTCTTAACAGCTTTTTATAGAGCGGAGGTCTAGGAAAATCGAGGCAAATTCTCATCATTTTCAGGAAAGGCCAAGTTTGGAGTCTGACTAATCCGCCAAAAAGACCTTTACTAAAATGAGAAAAAGAAAAAAATCAGGCCGCGAAATTAGGATGGTCATTGGGTTCAAAAAACGAATCCCTTTAAAGTACAACGATCGGGGCCAATTGGGCGTTGTGAGGAGCGTTCCGGGAGGGCATCGACAACTACCCCTCCGGCCATCCAATGCTGGGACATAATCTGGGCCACTCATCTGCGCAACGGTTCACCGGATCCCGGGGCCCAAATCCCCCAGGTCACGCCCCTTTTCACAAAAAATAACACACAAATAAAATGCAATTAAAAGTGGGAAAACACGTTTCATAATGTTAATTAGTGCGCATAAAATCCATAATCTTAATTATGCTGTTTGGGCTACAGTAACCTTTTAAAGGGACAGCAAGAGATCGGACAGCAAAAAAAGGTAAAAGACACCGTTTTTGAAAGAGCTGATAATGCTATTATTTCCACTACAGTACTGTTTGCATGCTTAGTCTTAGCGTAGGCTTAGCTTAGGCTTAGCTTAGGCTTAGCTTAGGCTTAGCTTAGGCTTAGCTTAGGCTTAGCTTAGGCTTAGCTCAGCCTAACAAGGAGTCGTTTTTAGGTGATATTGGAGTTTTTGGACGAGACCTAGCTAGTTCGAAAGAGAAAAAAATTCTGAACAAGTTGTCGTTTTTCAAATCTGCTAACCGTGTACGCTGTTCAATAAAAATCAATTTGAAAATCATTAATCTAACCATCATTTTCCGCCTGATCCGCAGATTCTGCGCTCTGGGTGCGCGTCAACATAGCCCCCTTTAGGCCTCCCTCCAGCCATGACCAGCTGGCCTATTGGTAGTGCGCTTGCTTCATAAGTTTTTGTTTTTTTTTGCCAGCGGGTTCGACTCCTCGCTAGTAAAACTCTTTTGCTTTTTGCTCGATAATGCCAAATTCGATTTCAATGGCATGAAAAACCAAAAAGCAAAACAATAAATCACAATAAGTTCCGAACCCTGGGCATAATTTTGCAAAAGTTTGATAGGCGCCGGCCCTATCCACTAGGCCACGATCTCATGCGGATGTTGGTTCGCGCTGTGGGCTATCTCCCGGGCCTGATCCATGTGTCGCAGCCTGACGTCCAGGAATTTTTTCATTAAAATTAATTTTTATTGAATAGAGTACACGGTTAGCAGATTTGGAAACCGACATCTTGTTCAGAATTTTTTTCTCTATCGAACTAGCTAGGTATCGTTCAAAAACTCCAATATCACCCAAAAACGACTCCTTGTTAGCGTAGGTTTAGCTTGGACTTAGCTTAGGCTTATCGCAAAAATTTGAATTTCCTGTCTTAATTAAATTTTTAAGAGAATTTTTTCGGGTTAAGGAATAGAAATGGCTGCTGTAATATGAAAATCAAAATGCCAGGAAATTTGTGGCAAGTATGGCTGTGGCTACATCGAAAAGGTTTGGCCTCAAGGAGGAAGAGCTAATTTCATCGACACATTATTGGCAGCAGGATGGTCAACAGAAAACGGTCATTTTCGACGAGTTCCGGCCAAAACACCAGAGTGCAAGCCTCGGGCGACAAAATGCCGATAAAATGAGTGTGGGGCCATGTGTGCAACGGGGCGACGATCATAATCCGGCCGACGATCAATCTGCCAAACCCCGAAAATCCCCAGAAATCCGCGGCAATCCTCGAGACGTTGTTGGAACGATCAAAAACAAGAGGAAAGCTTTAAGCAAACAAAAAAATTGGGGATTTTTAACATCAGCTGAATTTTGTAGCCTGACGAAAACTTGCGGAAGTTCCGATTTCGGTTAAAAATGAGGCGGATTAAGGTGAAAACATGGAAATGGCAAATCGAAACCGAAAAAGTAGGCAGCGAGAGGATTTTGGCGCGGGAAATTAGCATAAAGTAGAATTTATGAAAATTAATGATTAAAAATGTAATTTGCATAATGCCGAACCCAAAAATGCCGAATTCATGATGATTAGCATTCGCAAAAAAAATCGAATTTTAGAAATGCCGACAATTCGGCGCTTCGTGGGATCACGCTTGAGCTTGGCTTGGGCTTCACTTTGACTTCGTTTACTTAGGCTCCGGCTTAGCTTAGGCTTGGCGCGGGCTTAGATATAAGATTAGGCTTCGGCTTATGCTTGGCTTAAGCTTAGTCTTGGCATTAGCTTTGCTTAGGCTTAGGCCTGGCTTAGGCTTGGCGCAGGCTTAGGCTTGGGCTTATGCTTAGGAGACAGAGAGAGAGAGAGAGAGAGAGAGAGAGAGAGAGAGAGAGAGAGAGAGAGACTTATACTGGCTTATACCACCTGAAAATTCTCAGAAAATCTAAAAAATAATAATAACCGAGAAACCCGGGCGGAAATTGGGGCGTATCTGGATGGAAGGGCACCGAATAGAATCCGTGAATGGGGAAATGGGGAAAGGCGCGACGACGCGATAATCCCATCCACACACCCTGATCCGGCCTTATCGACCCCCCGGGGATAGTAGTAGTGGGGGGGTAGGGGGGGGTTGTAGCTTTTGCTCTCCGGATCCTACCTGTCCGAGTTGCCGAATTGTTTTTGAGCTACTTGAACTGTGGTCTCCAGACAAAAGAGGATTTTGCAGGATTAAAGGGACAGGACAGGGTCGGAATTTTGGAAGCGACAGAGAGAGCCAGATACAGAGAGACAGAGAGAGAGACAGAGAGAGAGAGACAGAGAGAGAGCGAGAGAGTGAAAGAGAGAAACGAGCACGAGAAAGAGCGAGAAAGAGACAGCGAGAGCGAGAGAGGAAGAGAGAGAGAGAGAGAGAGAGAGAGAGAGAGAGAGAGATAATCGGTTCAAATTAACTGAATTTAAATAAAAAGATAAAGCTTGGTTTTAAGGGCTCTGGAAAGCGTCATTCCGGTTTTTCGTAAAACTGATTTTGCATCTCTTTTTAAAGAATTAGATTTTTACAAGTGAGTTTTTACAACATTAATCAAAAATCGGCGTATCGCAGCGTTTTTGAGAGCTACAATTTCAACAAGATACGAAAAAATCTTTTTGAAAACAGGGAATAGCCCGAAAAACGGAATTTCCCACTTCCCAGGCCCTTTAAAAGGTGTTATTTGGCTCAAACGGGTCTCAATGTGATATATTTTGCAAGAATGACCTTCTATGAGCGGTCAGAATCTCTTTCTGATTGTGTGAATCGAGCGGATCAAGTGATCTTCTGACTTTTCGAGCCCGGCTGATCCGATCTATTTGCACGGGGGGAAACTGTCAAAGATCGGGGGCCAGGGCTTTCGCAGCTATTGCCAACCCGCGAACACCTGCGATTCGAACGTCAAAAGAACAAAAGAAATACAGTTTTAAAAAGACAAAGGCAAAAGGCAAAAGATTGACGCTCGACGCATTAATGGACATGTTTTTCAAACGGCTCTCTGCCAGCCTCCCCTAAAAT